TGTGTGTAAAATCTTATTGCGTATGATACCACCACGGAAGCTTTATCGAATCTTTTTCCCTCACAACGCTCAATATTGACTCTGCGAAAATGCTCGTGGACGGAAACCTTCTAATTTTCCGGCCTCGCGATTTTCGCCGACGCAATGCAAATACAGGAGCAATTTGCTACGTTGCGACGACGACAGGAACAGTCTCTGCGAGAAACCTTGCGACGATCATTATTGCCACAATTTTACGTCATATCTATACAAGGTGTCTCAAAAATATTTATAGATGCACGTGATAATTCTTTTCTTTTTAAACAGACCTTATTTTAATAAAGTTTTAATCTAATTTGCATAATTTAGAAAAGAGAAAAAAATATGTAATATATTAAAATTTAGTGAAATATTTAAGTTGACTGAAAACGACTGAGAAAGATACTTTTAATGTAATTAATGGATGTTATTTAATTTTAAACGCATTGAAATATTAAAATTCGCGCAATGACAATTTTACAAAGCTTTAGAATGTAAGCGGCATTATTGATCGGCTGGACGGTTAGTTGATAGAATGATGACCTATTGTCAAACTAGACTTCTCTCTCGCTGACCCTAACCCCTTTCTACGCTTTTGTCTTTCAGCTGCTTAATTCCCTGGCGACCGATTTGGACTGCATGCTGAGCGAGCTCTGCACGACCTCGGATTCCTACGAACGGTGAGTGCATTTTCTTCTTTTCTTCTTCGGCTTCTTTTTAACAAGGTCAAGTACAATCGCCGTTTTCGAAATCTAGATCGATTGATTAATGGCGAAATGACGAATTGTTACACAAACCGTTTTTTTTTAAATTATTGCAAATTGATTAATTACATCACACAAAATAGAAGCTTTTGTTTCGACTTTGGAACTAGGCATTTCGTGCAAATTTTTGAATACTACAAATCTGATTTTCAAATTAATATGCCACATCAAAATTTAAAAGAAACCAATTATAGATATATATTTTATAATATTGAGTATCTAAAAATAACTATTTGATCATGTATGATCTGTTGATCTCCGATTCTACGATATATGTATCTGGAAAAAAAGCATAAAGTAGAAGAAGAGGGGGAAACACATTAACCATCCTTGCCACGTGCGGTGGAGGTTAAATCGAATTAATTCCCGTAATTTATGACGAAAATCTCGCGCGAATAATTTCCATATCGCGCGGAATCCTCCTCGTGATGTATGAGAGGTTGCACCTACCAATATTCGAGATGTTACATAGAACACTGGGTATTATTATACCGGGAGGGCAGATATTCATTATACGCTTTACAATCGCTATAAATCAAAATGCGTTAATTCGCAGTTTTATGCAAATCTTAATTGTTTATATTAATGAAAAAGTTAATATGGACAAATTATAGCAACAGACATTGATAATCAATGTATCTAATTATATTAAAAAATTATCATCGAAAAAATTAATTACGTTGGATATGTAGCATCGTTGCAGAAATAAAAAAGTTAGGAAACTTTGCTTGTGTACGCAATTGAGCAATTATTAATATCTTATTTATAAAAATATAATTTTCAAAAAATACAATTATATTTATAATTGTATTTTAATATTTATATATATTAATATTATATTATTTAATATTATAATTTATATTTATATATATTAATATATATATATTAATATATTAATATTTATAATAATTGAATATTTAACATCTTTCTTTTAAAAAAGCAATTAGGCACTTTATTTTGAGTCACCCGTTATATGGAATATTTACATAGAATACGGTTATGTATAGATGCATAGATATAGATTCCTATGTATACACAGTAGGGTTAAACCTTAAAATTTAACACATCTGGGGAGTACGCCCTTCTATTCACTTCAAAGACAAGATGGACGATGTCTTCCTGAAAGGACGCAAAATTTCAATAGAACTTCAGAGGGGTCCGAACACGCCAAAGTTTGAAACTTGGCATAACTTCAGTTCCATATCGATGAACGTGATTAACTGTGACAATTAAATGGAACAATGTTATGTTGTTATGTATATGTTTCATCTGATACATTATATATACATATCTCAGGCAAATTGTCTACAAAGTGGGGCATTAGATCGCAACATTAATTTTATCGCATTTTAAATATTATCAATTTTCATCTATTTTATTCTATTATAAAACGGTTAAAAAAGAGATATATAAGTTATATATATAAGTTATATATATAAGTTATATAAACATATAAAATAATTGTCAAAATAATTGTTTTACTTTTAATAATGTATTATGTTTAAATTACGATAATTAATATTAACATATTATTTTGTAAAATGTGCAAAAGTGTTTTCATAGTTTCCATATTTTAATATAGAAAATATGGAAATACAGAAATATTAATAAAAACATGTTTTATTAGTATACATATAAATTAATTTTAAATTTAAAGTTTGTCAAAGTGTATAAACATTTGGGTTTCTATTAAATTTAATTTCAATTTAATTTTTGAGAGGAAATATTTATATTAAATTTTATCTGCAAAAATTTTGGAATCGTAACTCCTCAATATACTGTTGAAAATAATATTTATTTGAAAAAATTGATATTGTTGGTATACATTTATATGTAATTCACATATGCATTTTTATTATTTATTTTAAGAAAAATTCGTTATAATCTTCTAAGAATATGAACATTATCAAAGGGCAGTGCTGAAATAGCGGACAGCTGGCAACGGAAAAGCAATTATGCATAATATTATGACACTAATTCTGAACACATGTCACGAATTAGGTCGTTTCTTGGTAGCGATTTTGCATATATTTATAATATTTACATTAGTTCAATGTTAAAACAGCTTTATACTTGAAATATTTAATTTATCCAATTATTGATAAATTATATATTGAATATTATAACATAATCCGAAAAGAGATAATATAAGAAAATTGTAATTAAAATGTAATATTAGAAATAATTTTATTTGTCATGAAAGAATTATAAATTTATATATTTTTAAGTAAATATATTGGATTTATTGTTTTAATGTATAGCAAAATTTGAACATTATTCTAAGCTAATATTATTATATATTCTGAAATATGTTGAAATATATTTTGAAAAAATATAGTTAAACATTTTATTTTTTAAATATTTCGTTTTATATTTTAAATATTAAACAAAAATTATACATATATATATATGTATTAATTCTAAAATTAGCTACAATTTCTTAAATTATTTTTTACGTGACTTTACTTTCAACAATGAAGCAATGAAAATTTATCCATATTTCGCTATTACAAGTTTTCTAAAGTTAATTTTCTAGTTACTTTGCATTTACGAAAATGCATCCTTTCTCCTACTTTGCTGAAGTTGCGTCTAGCGTTTGTGCATTTATTATTAATCTCGCATCGTCTGAAAGCTCTTTCGCGTAAAAAACTTCCATAATTTTTCTTCAAGATACGCATATTTCTCATTCTTTTTTTCTTACTATTACGAAAGTTCGAACACTTTTTCCAGTCTTCTGCGTATGTGTTGTATGTGTATGCTTTTCATGGTATAAATTATTTATTACAACGTTTGACTTACTCAATGTAGGTAATTGAGGCAAAAAGCATCACTTTGTCATTATAAAAAATGACACAACAGATGTTTAATGTTCGCTCTTATTTATGCATCTTGTCTAGATTATCAAATCGCGTTGAAATACATGTTTTTACATCAATGAAATGGTATTTATATGTAATATTATTATTGACAATAATATTTTTTATTTTATATATATTTATATAATAATTAACACAATTATAGTAATAATTTTTGTAAGCAATTAAAATGTTGCAATAACAACTTCGCTGCGCATGAATTTGGCAACGAAATACCACCAGTGTCTTTTGATTCGTTGTAATTTAATGATTTACTGTAGAGAATTACTTAAGACGCATATATATTATAAAATAAATAATTTTTAAAATAGAAACTTACATATTTTTAAAAAGCATATCTTTTCCGCAATAAATATATTCCTGATTTTTTATTATTAAATATTTCATCTTATAAAAATTAGTTTTTCATTCTTTTGACATTTATTTAGAGTAATTTATATATTTCATTTTACTTTTCAGCACAGTTGTCAATGTTTGAACGCGATAAATGCGTTACGCGACGGGAATAACCGGAAACGTTCGGATCCTTTTTTTTAGTTTACAGTCTCATATCGGTAAAAAGTGTACGTATATATGCAAATTAACCGGACGGCTGGATGAGTGATGCGACGCGATGTGTTTTACGCGAACGAAATTTCCAATTTCTCCCCTATCGTTCTCCGAAATATCAAGCTCCACCCATTTTTTTTCCGTTTCCCGGAAATGTCGTTCTGCGTTCCCGACACACGTCCGACACTTTTGTTCGTCAAATTCGAATGTGGTAACCAATGTTTTCAACAGGGTGGCAACGAAAATAAAAGGAACAGAGTGTTTCCGAAAAAATGGCCGTCGTGACAAGTGCGAAACTTTTTTCGCCATTGTTTTCTTGTACTTTTTGCATTATTGCAGACGCAGAGATATAAAATCATAGAATTTATATTCCAGCAGAGAGAGAAAGGGGAAACAAAGAGAAAAGAATTAAAAAAAAAAACACATTTTTCTTATCATTGAGATCGATTTAAATCAAATTTTTTAGAGAATTATAATTGATAAATTAGATTTTTATTATAATTCACAACATAATTTACTTAAAAATTTGCCGTTTAATAAAAGTAGGAGGCGCAAAATTTTTTTAATAATTAATATGTTATTATGATTGGAAATTTGTCGTTAATAGAAAAATTTAATTATTAGAATTTATTGTATGAAAAGTATTTTTTTTAATTTTCAAAAATTGTCTAAAATGGTTACGTTTCGAAATTTCTATTTTATAAATGTTCCTAATTTTCTAAAATATAATCCAGTGTTATAAACTTTCTTTTTTATTTTGTCAAACTTTTTAATTCTTATTTGTCAAGAGAAACGAGATGTTTGTAATATAGACGCTCTGTAGACTTTTGATCAACGACGTCATAAGCAGATTTCCGGACTAGTCCCGCGCCACTGTCACTTGCAGCCTCCGACAAGGGGGCGGTGAGAATGAGGGGACAAGGCGCAGAATTGAAATGAAATTCCGACCTCGACTCTCGCGGTTGAATTATTATCGGCTAGTAATCTCACTAAAAAGTTTTCCTTCACTTTTCTCGGAGCCACGAGCTATTCTTCTCGTTCCCTTTGATACAAAGAAAGAGAAGGACAAAAAGAAAAATATACTAAAAGATAGACAAAGATAGAAAATTACGTAACGTTTATTTCTGCATAGCGTAGAATAATTTAGCTAAATAACATTTACTTAATGAGATGTTTATTATAAAAGAATTATATATATAATTAAATATAAATGAGAATATATATTAATAAAAAATATATATTAATAAAAATATATATTAATAAAAAATAGTCCGGAAATAAAATAAAATGCTATAAATATAAAAAATAATATAAAGAAGCTAGAAAGTAATAACATAATATAAGAGATAACATAAAAATTCATAATTAACATCGTTGTCAGAAAACGTATACATAAACATTTTAGAATAATTAAAATTTGTTG